GTCTTATTCTGGTGATTAATACACAGCTTTCACTAGTATTTCCGCCGGAAAAGAAGTTTATTGTATTGTACGCTGGCGATTGTTTCCGATCAGCAAACGACAAAACGCAGCCATCATGTCGGAACCGAACCCAGAGGTGTTTTTAGATATTGAAATAGACGAAAAATATGAAGGACAACTAGTATTTAAGGTACGTGTTATTAAAGCAGTATTGTAATGTATGTGATGACTCTAACTCTGCCTTATCATGACGGTAGTTTACTATTCAGTGACATTATTTACAGTTTATGATCTGCAAAGAGGTATCGTTATACTACAATTCCATATGGTCATTAATTTGTTTGTGTTGGTACCCCCGGCAGGTCGGGGATTGAAAACATTATTTGCGTTATATGTTACCCAGTGCAATGTTTTAACTAATGTTGAATGTGGATCAACTCCCAATGCCGAGACGTACCAAAGTCCTTAAGAATGGTAGTTGATTTTCCCTGCTGAACGTTCAGCATTAAGATTAAGTGCAAAATCTAGTTAACCCTTTGCCAGTATAATGTGATCTTGTGGATACAGTGCTGAGTGGCTTCGACATCGTATATTAGTGAAGAAGTGCTTTTAAGCTCGGCATCAGATTCGCACTATCACAACTAGGCAAATACACCAACATACCATCTCCGGCACACATGAATACATAGCATATGCTAATACATGTAGCAAACGTAACACACATAGAGACTAGCCCTTTCATGACTTTAGCTGCTAATAAGACGATATACTTATTTAATCAGACTAAACGGATACATTTTCAAAAATCATTCACATTCATTTCTACATAATAAAAGTTATAATGTCGAGAGAAAAGAAGCAGCCGCGAAAGCTGTAATATTTTAAAATTAATTAGGACAACAGTCATATTAATGATAACTCTAATACCCTCCCGATTCAGTAATCTCTTTCTGGGTTCATTCCTTCAAGATTTCAAGATTTTTTATTCACTCCAGACACACATTTCGTGTGTAACAGGAGGTCAATCATAAATACATATAATATCATAGATACATAAAAAAGCATACATACATACATATAACAGCAAACATACATACTTGCATATAACAGCGTACATGCATACATTTAACAGCAAACATGCATACATATATACATATAATAGCATACATGCATACGTATAACAGCATACATGCATACATATAACAGCATACATGCATACATAAAACAGCATACATATAACAGCATACATGCATACATATAACAGCATACATGCATATATATTACAGCACACATGCAAACATATAACAGCTTACATGCATATATATAACAGCAAACATGCATACATATAACAGCATACATGCATACATATAACAGCATACATGCATACACATAACAGCATATATAAACCAGCATACATGCATACACATAACAGCATACAAGCATACACTTAACAGCATACATGCATACACATAACAGCATACATGCATACATAAACCAGCATACCTGCATACACATAACAGCATACATGCATACATAAACCAGAATACATGCATACATATAACAGCAAACATGCATACATATAACAGCATACATGCATACATATAACAGCATACATGCATACATATAACAGCATACATGCATACATATAACAGCATACATGCATACACATAACAGCACACATGCATACATATAACAGCATACATGCATACATATAACAGCATACATGCATACATATAACAGCATACATACATACATAAATATAACAGCATACATATAACAGCATACATGCATACAGATAACAGCATACATGTATACACATAACAGCATACATGCATACACATAACAGCATACATGCATACATATTACAGCATACATGCATACATATAACAGCATACATGCATACACATAAAATGTAACAGCATACATGCATACACATAACAGCACACATGCATACATATAACAGCATACATGCATACATGCATACATATAACAGCATACATGTATCAAAGTATCCTTTACACATATTTCTATAATCAGACAGTTCTAAAGTTCGGGGAAAGAGAAGCTGGAGCGTGTGTTGTTGGTACCACACCTTCTGNAAGGTCAATAATAAATACATATAATACCATAGATACATAAAAAAGCATACATACATACATATAACAGCAAACATACATACTTGCATATAACAGCGTACATGCATACATATAACAGCATACATGCATACATATAATGGCATACATGCATACGTATAACAGCATACATGCATACATATAACAGCATACATAAAACAGCATACATATAACAGCATACATGCATACGTATAACAGCATACATGCATACATATAACAGCACACATGCATACATATAACAGCTTACATGCATACATATAACAGCAGACATGCATACATATAACAGCAGACACGCATACATATAACAGCAGACATGCATACATATAACAGCAGACACGCATACATATAACAGCAGACATGCATACATATAACAGCATACATGCATACAGATAACAGCATACATGTATACACATAACAGCATACATGCATACATAAACCAGCATACATGTATACACATTACAGCATACATGCATACACTTAACAGCATACATGCATACACATAACAGCATACATGCAAACACATAACAGCACACATGCATACATATAACAGCATACATAAAACAGCATACATATAACAGCATACATGCATACATAAACCAGCATACATGCACATACATAACAGCATACATGCATACATATTAAAGCATACATGCATACATATAACAGCATACATGCATACACATAACAGCACATATGCATATATATAACAGCATACATGCATACATATAACAGCATACATGCATACATATAACAGCATACATACATATAACAGCATACATGCATACAGATAACAGCATACATGCATACACATAACAGCATACATAAACCAGCATACACATAACAGCATACATGCATACACATAACAGCATACATAAACCAGCATACACATAACAGCATACATGCATACACATAACAGCATACATGCGTACTTAACCAGCATACATGCATACATATAACAGCATACATCCATACATATAACAGCATACATGCATACATATAACAGCATACATGCATACACATAACAGCATACATGCATACATATTACAGCATACATGCATACATATAACAGCATGCATATGCATGCATACACATAACAGCATACATGCATACACATAACAGCACACATGCATACATATAACAGCATACATGTATCAAAGTATCCTTTACACATATTTCTATAATAAGACAGTTCTAAAGTTCGGGGAAAGAGAAGCTGGAGCGTGTGTTGTTGGTACCACACCTTCTGCCTTCTGTTTACCAACCAAGGCCTCTATTTTCTCAGCTGAAACAATTGCAATTAATCTGGATCTATGTCATTTTTAAAAGCCGAAAGAACACTAAATGGCTCGTCCGAACTACAAGTTAATTAAATATCAACATGGAAATATTCTCAATTCTTTGTATTAACTGATTTTTAATGTTTTGTCGCCTAATCTTTATTTGGATACCCAGTCCTGTCGGAATAACATGAAATGAGAGTCGATAGGGTCGCTAAGGGAGCGCTTACCTATAACCGTAAGATATTAAACTGCCTTACTTTAATTTCAAGGTATACCTTATATTGGCTCATGACGATACACTGTTCGGCTGGCCCAAAAAAAAATTGGGGGCGAGTACAAAAATTATTTCACATGCCCAAAATGAATATTGGTAGCCCAATTATTTTACTAAGATTTTATTCAGTGTTGAGCAATAAAAAGTGCAAATAAAGCAATATAAATAGATGTTCTTTATTCTTCAATCAAACCCTCCCGACACATAACCCTAAAAACCCTCCCCTCATTCCCATAGTCTTCATTGTCACTGAATTCGCCTGGTAGGAATTTACAACTGCAGACGACTTTGTTATATTAAGATAAAAATAGTCACGTGACCCCTTGACGATCAGCTGGCGATTTTGGGGCGACTTAGGGTTCACTACCTGATATATCCTGCGAACAGGACAGCTTAGTCTTAAAATTTTGCCTATATGGTTAAAAATACAGCTTCTTTGCATTGTGTGTTAAAAAAACACACGATAATTCGCGTGACATCGCACAATACACGCGCTTTGGCGAGAATTGGTTCTTGGCGAGAATTGGTCGGCAACCAGTAACGTTACTGGTGATACGGCAGACCAAACAACATAAAATAGTAACTTACAGCGAAGAAAACTTACGACTTATAAGAATACATTAGTTAACTTACTTAAATCCCCAGCCCTTGTTTGTATCCGCCATGTTGACTATCTGTGTCAATTCTGATGCACTTGCACGTTTTAACGGCGTGACCCAAAGTACAGGATTTCCGAAAATGGGTGTTCCGAAGTAGGGGTGGTTAATTTATGGGAGTAAACTACGATTTTGAGAATAATAATGTACTCGCCCAATGATATATTTTTGGGCCAGTAACTATCCATATTTTGACAATTTCTAGTCGCCCAATCAAGGTTTTGGTCGCCTTTGGCGACCAGGCGACCGGCTGTGTCCTACGCTGCAATAAGACGTATCCTCTCGCGGTTACGCCTAGTCTACATATCTAACAGTGTCTTCTGTAATACCAAATATATTTTACGAATGTGGCTAGTATTTTGATATTTTTCACGAGTGTGCAGCACGAGTGAAAGATATCAAAATATTAGCCACACTCGTGAAATACATTTGGTATTACTGAATGGGAGAAATGGGAGAGAATGATATCAAAATATTAGCCACACGCTTAGCCTAACTTTGGACTTGGAGACGCTGACGCCATGATTCATTTGACAAGAGTTTTCTCCGATAAAAAAAGTCAAAATTACTGATCTGCATAGTGTGCTGGTTTTTATGAAAATGAAAGTAAACTGAGGAATCAAACGTCGTTTTTCCCCAGAGAATAATCCCCCCATGATAGCCAACAGATGATTATTTGTCTCAGACATATTTTCTCGAGGCCTGCGTATTGTTAAGCTAGTCAGGCTTTTACCAGATGGGCCACTTGTAATACTTCCCATGGTAGTTTGTAGTAAGTGTTTTAATTGGTCAAATCAGCAAAAGTGATATTTGTCATTAGTGAATAATATGAAATTTTTCAAATACCACTTTTATAGAATGAATGATTTTCAATATTTCACTGGTAAGGATGTAATAAAAATGTATAGGTCTTTGTTTTGTAACCATTGAAATACTGGAAATTGGAGCTAATCCCTTGTTTTCACAGTTTAATATTCCTTCGAAAAATCAATTTGTCGAAAATCTGTTTGTAGTATAGGATTTATCTCCCTTCGTCCGTACTTTACAAAAGTTTTGACAAATATTTTATTTCCCTGAGGAATATAGTACAGCTACATTTGTGTTTCTTATCTTGTGTCCCTTTTTTATATATATACATCCTTGGTTACAAAAATGTACCCAAGAGGTGTCCGCACCAATATTATTTCATTTGTATACGTTTATACACTCTGGTTTGGTAGTGAGTCGCCAAATTCTGGTTTTTGATCTGTAAGATTTTTCTTTTTCTTTTGTTTTGTGACTTAAAAACTGTTTATTTTCAACGCAAATTTTTCAAACAACCTCGACTGCCACGTGTATGACACTCCTCAGTCACAGTCCGATAAATGCATACATTCCTAATTATCTTCATAGTTTACCTGAACAGTTTTCCGTCAAACCAGACACCATACTCGCCTAGTTGTGAAAATGTCAGGTGTTATAACACAGAAAAAAATATAGACGAAACATATGCAGTTAACATACAATATTTACATTTGTATGGCATTGTCACTATATAGCCTCTTTGAAAGCTGTGTCGTTGATGGGACTTTAATTGACATGCAGCACGAGACACAATTCTTAGCGTATTAATACAACACTGACCGGAACTACAATATCCAATAAAAATAAACATGACGGCTGCTGAAATATCGCTGGGCATTGTGAGACTTGACCATGTCATTGTAAAGAGGTATGGCGGGTTGCTATGCCTATTTCCCCAAAGTTATGTTACGCTAGTGCGCGCATCCAACCGTGCACTGCTATGACGCGTCCTCGGGTATTTTTATACAGGTATACGTAGCTATATCGGAATCCTGTGTCTAAGAATAGATTTTTGTAAACAGAAGAATTTAAGGCCATGGCTATTAATACATGCGTTTGACGATAAAGGTTCAACACAATGCTTATTTCACGTTATTTATATTGATTTATAACAAAGTATAGGCTTATATTTAATACAAAATCGTGCAATCTATACGAAACAGTTTTGAACGGATTTAATTTTCCTCACTATTACCTGCGTTCGGTAAATCAGTAGCATTCATAATGAGTTCTGAGAAAGTATCCGGTCTCGGGCGATAATCCGCATGTCGCACTAAATAGTAACGAAATTATTACTAACAAAACTGATAACTCAATAGGTATGTTATTAAANCTGTTACACTGCACTGATCAACAGGGGTTCGTTACAAATGTCTGAAATACACATATTCTATAGACCTACTGACATATATGTTACAGACCTACTGATATGAGTCACAGCACACATAAACATTTCAGACATTTGTAACGAACCCCTGTACTCCGTCGCAAGATCACTCACTTCAAACGATATCAGTTTCACGCGTCTCGCACCACGGTTTCCTCAGTTTCTGATCACGACATGTCAAATAACGAGGCTGTTATAGAATCTATCGACTGTAGTCAGATTCCGATACAGTTATAGAATCTACCTACTGTAGTCAGATTCCCATACAATCAACAAATAAATTCACGTCTGGATTCTTCACAAATTGATACTGAATTGTGGAATAAAATTGAATTGTTTGTTAAAATTTCAAAGTACTACTTTGTTTGCCAATCAGCACGCGACCATACGCTGCTCAAATTATTGAACGAAATTGTGTGGACTGTCGATAAGGCGGGCATTTTTAATTTTAAATATAAATTATAAGTTAAAAAAGAACATAAGAGGCAGAGAAAACGTAAATATAAGTATTGAACTGTTTTTGTATGGTATTTATGATCTATTTGAATGACACAGCTTGCGCGCATTATGTTGTTTGCTTTGCAAAGCTGTGTCATTCAAATAGATCATAAATACCATACAAAAACAGTTCAATGCTTAATTAAACTATGGCGTGTCAAACGTTGCAATATTCAATAATTTGATATTTATGTTCGAATTTTTATATTTGTGTTCAATAATTGTAAATATATGTTTGATAAAAAATGTTTAACTCCTTCTTGTGTTTGGGTCATTCTCATAATACCGACCATTGAAGCCGAGCCGAGTTGTAGGCACTAAAGTACTATATACAGAACGATTACGGTTAGTCAGGAGGCTTGGTTTTGTTCTTCATACCATGCTATTTGGTTACTTGGTTTTTTCCCCTACGAGATTGTAATACCTTGGTTAAAGTCATTGTGGTTATAAAACGTATGTACAACGCTTGATACATTACATTAAAATGTAAACATTTATGATAAATGTTTTTTTATAAGAGAAAATAAATACCGATTTGCTTCCTGATTAGCAATCAACACCAATATTGTTATAAACGGATATGCAAATCCTCATTCGTTTATTTGAACGCGTACATTGATGATTGATAAGGGTATTTGGAGTAAGCTACACCCTATAATTTCTTGCTGACTCAAAACCTTTTTTCTAAGACGTTGATATAAATTACCGATGTCCGTGCCTGTTATATTGTATCCGATGTTATTGAATATACTCACAGTCACTCGTCAACATTTGATGTCAATGCTATGGTACCGATTTCCACTCTCGACAGCTATAATGTCAACAACAAAATAAATAAAGTTGTTGGATTAGACAGACATCAAATGCAAAGAGGTTCTACAATTGTTCGATATAATATAGAATATTAATTGGCAAATTGAAAAGCATACACTGTCGCTCACCAATGAAATCGTTTTGCACTGTATGGTTTTGCTACGATGACTAATAAACATATTTATAATCTTATAATTTAAGCTTTTTGCGGACATCGCGCCATTAACTGCAGGTAAGTTTAAAACTAGCTAGTTTACGGCATTTATAGTCAAATGAGACAGTGCTGTCTTGCAGTATTGCAATCATAATCAGTGTTGTTTATACACTCTTCAGCATTATTCAGGTTAGTCATGCCTCAGACATACATTTAATGTTAACTTATCTATGTCTTAAATGTATCAACGTAGTCCCAATGGTAAACCATGATAAAAGTCCATTCTCGTAATTCTGTTTGGTTGTTTGGATATTTCCCTGTCAATTATAACGTAAATAGTGACATGAGACGATTTTAATATTTCATCGCTGTCACCTGATGATTTTTTTACAGATCTTAAACTAATTATGGAAAACTTTTTAAAGTGACAGTGGGAGACTTTCGGATTTTTGTTTGCATCTTCTAAATATTTTAAACCTTTAATTTAAGTTTTAATATTTTATTTTATTCATTTCCTTTTCTTTTTATGTATTCTTATTGCATAGCTATTTAGATTATGTACTTGCTCTGCGTCAGTAATGGATTTGCATGGTTCATACTGTATATTGTCCACCTACCCCTACCTCAAATTACAAACCTCTGCCCTATGAATCATACATATTCCATCCATGCTTAATGTCTCCGTCATAAAACCCTGTTGTACTTTATCCCACGGAACAAGCCATTCATTATGGAATTTATTTGATCAGCTGAATAATTTGGAACTGGTTCGCGATAGTTTTATGATATTATAAATATGAATGTTCTCATTTAAACGATCCTCATACAGTGATCCTTCAATATATTATAATCGAAAATTTCTTAATTTGTTAAGATCAATATCAAGAATTATCTATTTGGTAAAATAATATATAGTCACTGCAGTGATCATAAATGTGTATGATGAAAGTGTTCGTCATGTACCGACAGACCTTTTTTGAGACCGGTAAGACCGGTAAGATTTGTTACCCGCTATAAATAACTATTAAAGCTATGAGTGCAACAACCTTTACCCATGATTGCTTTTCGAAATCAATAGTAAATCAAATGTATTTGTTCTAATTGAGTAACTTATTGAAGTGAGGTTAATTCTTGTTTTATTCTGAGTTTCATGAAAACAAATTATTAGCACGTTGTATATAAGGAGTAAATGTAAGTTTTTCCTTTCATTATTTCCTGTGATCAGACGTGTAGTTTATGCTCAGACGTGTAGTTTATGTTCGAATGTTCAGTTTTTCCTAAGGATGCAGTCTTCGTATTGTATTAAATATATACATGTATGTAGATATTTTCCTATAACTTGTTTCTATTTTCCCCGTTTACTGTAACAAATGTTCGATCTCCTTGTATTATGTGATTTTGTTCTTTAAGAAAACTTCCGGGCATTGTGCACGGGTGAACGAGGAGAAAATGGCAAAACTAAAGAGGAGTTGCTTTGCTACAAAGGCAGTTGTTTTCATAGAATCATCCCTAAATTCATGTGTCAAGGAGGAGATTTCGTACTTGGAAATGGGACGGGCGGAATGAGCATTTACGGAAAAAAGTTCGCGGATGAAAATTTCGTCCTGAAGCACACTGGCCGAGGTACAGTAAGCATACGTAGTATCCTTCTATTTAATTGCATTGTAATGCAAATATAGGGCCATGACTATCCACACGTCCTGTAGGTGTATACAACACTGTAATATGCATCGTTTTGCGCTGGGAATATCAAGTAATGAAAAGGCAGATCGCGTAATAACACCATTTGTAAAGTCAAAGCAGCAACTTAATTGGAATCAATTTGTAGACAGCAAATTACACGCTGTAAAACCTAAAATCGGTGATTGGCATCCAACATATAGAGAAAACCGTCGAGGCAAGGAAGCCCTTGCCCGTCTCCGGATGGGCCAACCATATATTACCCATTCTTATTTATTGAAAGGCGAAGACCAGCCTCAATCAATAGCGAAACATTTCCAATCAAACAGTTGTTATTAGATTCATTGACATACAGCCAACACGGGAAAATGTGTATGGTGATATAAAAAAAATCTCCAATCTCTCCGAAACAGTCTCTTACCTACCTTAACAATAACAGTTATCACTTACATTCCGCCAAGTCGGAGTTGTCGTTTATCATTTTGTTTGTTTGATGTCAAGTCCTTTAACATGAGTTGTCTACCGTGTATTGACCTCTTCTCTGTAGATGGGCGGTAAAGAACATAACACTATAATAATATTTTTACTGTATCTGAGCTGCACTTGAAACACATATGTGATTATCTTTCCAACAGGTATTTTGTCTATGGCCAATTCGGGAGCGAACACCAATAGTTCCCAATTTTTCATCTGCACAGCCGAAACTTCATGGTAAATGTATATTGAATTATTACGCATTATTTGTACATTTGAAAATAAATTCATAGCCTTGAGTACAAACCATAATCGATTATCACAAGTTTGAGATCTTGTCTTTATCAAGTAAACACAAAGTGACCAGGGACTCAAACAGATACACCCTTAAATCGTCAAAGATGTCAGGTGTGAATTTTGACTCCTTAGCGAGATACATGTAGTTGACTACCAAATCAACTACCAAAATATCGTCATGCGTAGAAGCTGGTGTTGGCATACAATGGAATCAACATAACTAACATGTCGAGAGGGTTCGTGAAGTATCTTGTAAACACAAGTTGTTTTCACTACGGCCGCACTGACAATGCGTTCTTTTCCATACATGTAACCCCCATACTTAAATTGGGGATACAAACAGGAGGCCCAAGGAACCTGCATTGCTCTGCTATAATGTTTTTATTGAGTTGTCAATACATGTTCCAAAACACTTTTGATCATGTGACTAACAGACTGAACGTTCGTTTGAAAAAAAAATAGATTTATTTCCACTGAAGCTATAGCTACCTGGCATATAGTATTCGGCTTATGTAGCCTTAAATGTGGATTAAGATAATTAATTTGAAAAAAAAAGCCAGATAGTCTTTTAATAATAATATACAACCTTTATATATTTACCCAAACAAGCTAAATAGCAAATGATATTTCCCTATAACGTTTCCATTGACATTACGGTATCATGAGAGATCTTCATACACGTGGCATGTATTTTGCAAGTTGTATTTGTTCTTATAACAGTTATAAAGTCTTTGTAAGTACAATTTTTTTCGATATGACCAAGCAGATAATGGGTATGCCCAAAGAGGTTACACTATGTCACATGCTTTGGACTTTATATTACTTATCTATTGGGTTGTCCGCTGAACGACTATTATTGTTTAACAAAAAACCTAGGCAAGTGAAAATGGCTTTAATTTTCTAAATCTAAATCTATGTGTATGCCCAACAAACATATTTCAGTTCTTCAAAAAACAAAATGTTTTTGGTCTATATTCGATTCAAAACTATCATTTCATCCTATAAAAATATTAAAGACAAATTCTCATCATTTTCTCAAAAGATTAACAAATAGGAAGCACATCTTGCCGTGTTGATGAGTCTGTATCCCTCACTTGTTTGTTAAAACTGTACTATGGCCTCTCCCTATAACCCCAATTCGCCTCCATCCTCTATTCCATCAAAATTTGATGTCTTTGTTTGAATTTCCAAATTGGGTATTGCTATGAAAAATATAACTGTTTTCATTGTGGTTGTCGTAATTCAATGTAACTAGTTGAAATTTTCAGTCGATCGGGATCATTTTCAAACAGTTTTAAATTCGGAGCTGATCGCAGTTATCAGACTGTCATTAACATTTCATATCTTTGTTCAAAACGGAATAACCTGATAAAATATTTGGTATGGTTCCATTTTTCATTTTTTATTAAGCTCAACAGTCTTAGATTTGTTACCTTCATGCGTTGTGTGTCAAGCATTCAAATACGGAGAACCCCTTGCATATTGTTCAAAGTTGCAACTTTGAAGGCATGTAACAATTAATGCAAGGCATATTCTTATTACGTTTAGGTCGAGAAGGTACAAATGCGCCATAATATTTTTGTGTTTGATACAATTTCATTGCCATTTATAAGTGTTATTTGCCTACCTGTATTGGGACTGCGCCCACGTCTGCTATCAGTTAGCTCAGTACTCGTTGGTTAGAGCGACTATACTATGACCAGAGGTCAAGTGTTCAGATCCCGATCTGACTAGTTGCACTTTTACTTCCAATATCGCTGTTGTAGATATCTTTCAGAACATCGCTATTTTTTCCATAAAAGTTTTACAAAGAATGGGTTCTGCTTTCAGAAATGATTTCTTAAAGCTATCGTTATGCCGGTAAAAAAGCTAATATTTAAATTTTGTAGTGGAACGGGTACCCTAACTACTTAACTATAATAGGTAGCAGATCTAGAGTACAGTAGAAATGGCTTGACCCTAAAAATAAAGGGCATGTCTCGGATAAACATGGATAGCAGATTAATCCTGCACAACATACCTACATATATATATATATGTATCCACTACATTTTGAATACGTTTTGTTGAGAAGAATGAATATTTTTTCAAAAAGGGATTTCCCCAGATTTGGGACTTGTGAAAACCATGGTTACCACATCAAAAAACGCCAATAAATGCAAAAAAAACATTATATTTGACCCACGCAAGTAGTATTTTTCTTCTTAATATCTGTCTTAAGTTAAATATCACCTACTCGGTAACAGAAATACTCACGTTTTAGCATAGGTTGCAAACTGGATTTTTCACAATATGTACACATGTGCACGTGCCGAGTACAAAAATAGACTACATGAAAAGCTGGCTTTTGTTGTGTAGACACAGATTCGTAAATGGCCAAAAATGTAGTCTCAAGCCAATTCGATTTTTTTTTTAATTTTAAATGTGAAGTCCACATAGTCCAATTCATCATGTATATGCCAATTTTAGAGCTGTTTTTCTTTTAAACTTTTGATACATGTAATATTACAGGGGTTATTCATTGTACAAAAATATCACCCATTGCCACCGTAAGTGTCTGTACACTGCTCCATAGCATGTTCATTGAATTCAAATATTTCATCAAGATTTTGTTTGCCTGTGAATTTTGATGAAATGGATTTGTTGATATTTAGATTATCTTTTACAGGCTTGACGGTAAACACGTAGTGTTTGGGCAACTTGTAAAAGGTTTTAGAACCTTAGAAAGGATGGAATCTATGGGAACTGATTCCGGTCAGCCCAAGAACAGAGTGCTCATATCTAACTGTGGACAGATAACCGATCAACACAGTGACTCAGAGGAAGAAACAGGGCAATAGCGCCACCTTAAAGAGACCAACCAATGCACCGAGTGATAAAGGACATGGTTACATAATTATCATACTTCTGAAATAGGTTTTCTTACAAAAATTGTTATAGATGCTAAATACGACTACTTTATATGATTAACAACACTGGTGATTGTGATCACAGACCATGTCGTATATTCTATTTTGTCAAATATATTCAGCAATTTAAGCGAAATTAATTCGACTTAGTCTATTTATTTTTATCTTTTGATAGCCATGAGTAAACCATATCATTTGTGTGAGGAAACATTTGACATATTCGGGATGGATGGAGGAAATCAGCTGAAAGGGCTTGCCAATGATGTTGTGGTTGCAGCGCATGGCATAATAAAATATCTGATGTAATTTAACGTCAAACTCAGTAAGTAGTATTTAACAAATTATATACAGTAAAACGCTAATGAGAGATCCCTTTGCAGAGTCGTGGATTTTCTTTTGTGTTCTCTCTAATATGGAAAGCGAAGGACACCTAAATAAATTTTACTGCGCTCATTTTTTCTTTATTTTCCCTCTACTCTCTAACAACTTTTTTGTCTTACTTGGTAATTAATACCTCTCCTCCGGCTAAAGTGTTGAACGTTCGCCCACCTGATGATGGTTATGGATTGTGTCTCCTGGTATAGACAATTCAAAACCCTTAAATCCCGTTATACTCTCTGATTTTGTTTTCTGCTTTGTATTGGTGGAGATAAAGGCTGGTTAGCGGATGCATTTTTCATTTAAAGGATTAACAAATACGTTTTCTTATTCTAATACAAAAAGTGTCAAATAAGTAAAATATTGTAATAATGGGATCACGAAATCAATGAAATTCATCTTCGGCGTTCATAACCTCTTACAGGGGGAAGTCCTGATACTCTATGGTACATTGTCGAATAGGGAACAGACACTCAAAATTACCGGGATTACGTTCACTGCACACTGGAATATGTCATGATGAAATTGAAGGCACCTGCTGAGCTTTTTAATTGATTTTCAAACCACTGATCAATCGCTTGGCCGATACCTGTCATTTAATATTATATTGAAGTGACAACCGACATCGAAGTCAGTCAATTTTACCATTAAGCTGCAGCACTATTCTTTTGATGTAAATCAAAGGATAAAACTGTTCTAGCGTCTACAATGTGGCGCGTGCAAAGCCTTCGATTTCGTTGACATATTTCAGGGGCTCGGAAAATACAAGAGCGTAACCACAGGAACTTCTAGGAATCGATGCCACTTCCAGAACATGGTTGGTGTGCTTCAGAGTTCAAGTCAACACCATGGTATTACAATTTTGAGAAGTACAAGCAATTATCAGCAGCAGATGCAGCCTTCATTTGAAAGGTAAACCTGCACATATACTTGGTATCATTGGAAAGATGATTTTTGTCACAGAATTCAGTGCAATAACATCATTTTTAGATAATGAATTTGTTGGTACAAGAAAGAAGTAAAACGCATCATGGCAATCACAGACTCTTACAGGGGCACCCCTCACCTTACTTATTGGCATAATTTGAAAGTAAATTCATGTAGCTGTCGGGATTCATAAAATGCTTTGTGTACATATTTCTGTTCTATAACAGCCAAACTTCTCCAACATCACTGGAAATAATGTTTTTGTAGCTTTTAGAAAATGCATATTCTGTGTAATTCAGTGCTAATGTTAAATTTGTTTGAAAAAAAGATGTGCATCTTTTGGAAGCAAAATCCCGCATTGGTTAATAGTGAAAAGTTAAAAGGAATCTACACCTCTTTCAGCAAATGTTTTTGAGCTATAAAACTACTGAAATACTTGTTCCTGTATTTAGCCGGCTGCATTTGAATGGAATCACTGGAAGGAGACTTATTGGCACTTTCAGAATGAAACAAAACAAAATAAGTTTACAGCAGATTTTATTTAGGTAGCACAAAGAAGTATCAAGGATGAAAAAGAATACACAAGCTAAATAAAATGCACATAGAATGTTTGGTGGGATCGAATATAATTAAAAAGCTGTCAAGAACTCCGTACAGTACAACCATTATGACATGCTATATTACATAAAATGAACCACAAAAGGTAGCACAGATTAAAACTGATACTGCATAACAGTCAGGGGTTTTGACACTGTTGTAAATAGATCAATTTAATTGGTCATCTTCCTGTAACCAGGGATATTTTGGTGCAGGAACTTATATTTTTGTATAACCTGTCAATGGTTGGTCATTTTTAATGTCAGCTTTAACAAATCTTAACAAAATACAAATGACACTAGATGTGATCTAAATTGAATCATTCAACATGCTAATTTCAAAAATTCACAGTATTCTTAATGCGACCCATAGAAATGATAATGTGCATGTGCATAATTAATATCTGTACACCTGTCATTCAGTGATAATTGTTCCGATAGCATTTGAAAGACACAGCTGTCGGCTTAAGAAACTAAAGCTCGCCACAGTTCTCGATAGTAATTTTTTTTTTGGTTGCTCCATTTGCGGAGCCATAACTTTCAATCTTCTTCACTACATCCAGACCGTCTTCCACAGATCCAAACACCACATGTTTACCATCCAACCTGTAAAAATAATATATACGTTGGAAATTTTGGCCATACAACCTTTACAAACAAAATTTGAAATGCATTTACCTTAAAACCATGAAGCTGTAACAAGAATCCCATGTGGATTAATGTCTCCTCAGTTGTTATACAACTATTTTGGGTTGTGATGTAACAAAGCAAAATGATATACATACAGCAAACATACCTTTTTAACAGTGAATTTGACAACAAAATGATCTTGTAGAGTGACCAGCATATATCATATGTGAATATATTGTGTCATACTTTGTGACAGTTTCTTCTGAAATGATATTGTGAGCATTATTATCTAAAATAATCTTGCCATTCACAGTCCATTCAGGAGTATAGACTCCCTATCATCTAAGGATATTTTATGGAATAATGGTATGAATTAATACATCGATTAGTTTCTTCTGGTATGTTATTTAAAGGTATTGCACCGTGTAAATTATTATGGTCCCAAACTTCAGCTCCGTTAAGATCATTTCCTTGGAGTAAGAAATTCTGGCTAACAATTACCACCAATTTTCATAAATAGCACTAACAAACCTTAACTGTCAAAATCAAAGATTTGTTTATCCGATCAGTCT